ATTTATGGATACGTTTCTACTTTCTTTGTTTGTTCGTCGAAAACTTCACGAAGGACTCCGGCTCTCTGACCACTTGAATGTGCCACACACCTGTGAGATGAATCAAGACAGTGTCTCCAACATGAGACTTACATGATTTTTTTCTCCGTTGCAATGCACGAGCATATTTGCTAGACGTTTAAAACTCTATGACGTTTTGACATTAAACCCACGGTACATATCAAATGTTTTTTAAAATACTCATATCACCGTAAACTTCAAATTTAACATGTTATATATAAAATTTGATTAGAAAAATATATAGAACCTGAATAAGATGTTATGTTACCTGTTAACCATTTAAAAAAACTATCTAGGGTGCAATCTGGATCAACAGTACATATCAAATGTTTTTAAAAATACTCATATCTTTTAAACCGTAGCTCTAAATTTAACATGTTGTATATGGAATTTGATTAGAACAATATATAGAATATGAATATGATGTTATTTCACATGTTAACCATTCAAAATAAACTATCGATGATGCAATCTTAATCAACGCTACATATCAAATGTTTTTTGAAATACTCATATCTTCTAAACTGTAACTCTAAATTTAACATGTTATATATGGAATTTGATTAGAAAAATATATAGAATCTTAATATAATGTTATTTTATCTTTTAACCATTAAAAAAAATTACTATCCAGGGTGCAATCTTAATCAACGGTGCATTATTCGTCTTCCTTTCATATTGGTACTGATCCGGATTGTAGATGAACATCTCAACAAAATCAGGATTGGAGACGAAATTGAAGATCTCTTGCCCTTTTCTTTGTGCGTAGTAAATCTACACCCAAGCTTTGTTTAAATAGAAGACATGTGGAATCTTGAACTTGCGCTTTTGTAGGCAAAGACCATCTTTATTTGGGCCGTAGTTACAAATACTTAGATTATAGACCATTTTGTATAAATTAAGAGTGTGCGGTATTCTTTTCTTCCGTTGCAACGCACGGATCTTTTGCTAGTATTTTTGTAAACCATATACAGTACTACGAATTATAGTTGGAAAGCCTTGAATTTGGTCCTAATTTGTTCACCGCGAAGATGGAAACCAGGCACGGCACGCGACACCGCGTGGTGCGTGGACCATGCGCAAGCAAAGATCCAAATCGGCGCCATTTAAAATATTTTGATCACCTGCCAAAAACAGGTGGCGCTACTGTTTAATTTTTGGCCGAAACCGAAGGGATTGACAGGTCATGGCGTGATTTCAGGGACAGATGGTTGGTGGAGCGCGTCCGATGCGTTGTCCATCTCTGGCTTTGCCTATATATAACGCAGCGCTGTCCGGAGGCAGCTCTGTCTTCTCCCCCTTGAGCCGCCGCACTGTTCTTCTTCTTCCTCCCCCAGCAGGCACCCCTCTTCTTCGTCTGAAGAACTCACCAAATAGCCAAGGCTCCTTCATCACCAACAGGCAAATCAAGTTCTCCATGGCTCCAGCGGCTGCAGCCCAACCCCCCTTCATGTGCCACACAGCCCAAGCAGCAGTTCTTCTTCATGTCTTCTCCTTGAGAAGGGGAAGAAGAACATCGTTGGACACCATGGACAGAGAAGGAGAAACAGCCAACTGGTGGGGAGTGGGGAGCAGCACCTAAGAGGAAGGAAGCCATGGGATTCAACATCATCTGCAAGCAAGATTTGGTTTGCAGGAGTGGAGCTCATGGGGGTTCAGCACCATCTGTGTAAGTCCTCTGACCAGGCTCTGAAGATGGATTTGCAATGCGTTTTTTGTTGCTGCTTCTGCTGCCTTGCATATGCTTGGTTTGCTCCTTGCATTCTCTTTGTTTTTCCTTGCTACAGAGCCCCGGAAACAGCACTAGCAAATTCTCTCGTATCCTCCCTGCTCGTACTAAAGCCCCCGCCGATCCGAACCAACCGAATTCCCCTCCCCCGCCCGCACATCTGCCCCCGCTCCGCACCCCGAAATCCCCCGCCCCTCCCCCTCTCCCCCGATCCATTCTCTCCCCTCCTCCCACCTGGCCGACGCCATGGCCTCGACGGGATCCCCACCGCCGCCCTGCTCTCGGGGAGACCCCCGCCGCCGCCCTGCCGT